TATAGTCGCGAGTCAATAGCTTTCGGGGTTCATTTTTTTTTTTTTTTTTATAGCCGGCTATAGAAATTTGAAATGTCAAGATTCCATAGATTTGAAGACCAATTATTTTGTAGGCGACTATAGCGTGTTTTATGATTTTTTTATGGCTGACTATTGAGAGTCAGATACGGTGATAGCTTACCACAAGATTTTCAATAAATGTCCATAGCCCATGTTTTTATGGGTATGCGAGCATACCCATAAAAAAAACTGGCAAAAAAACACATAAAAAAAAACTGGCAATGTCGTTTGGTACACGAGATTTAGTCAATGTCGTGCAGAGGCGAAACAATTGTTTAAGCGAGATAAACACAACATGCTGACATCGCCGAGCAATCATTGAGCACACAGCCACAGTGTATGTGGAAGTTTGTCAAAGAGAGCATCAAAGAGAATGTTACCACGATCACATTGCGAGATAATGAGGATTGCGTCTCTGACCCTGTTGATGTAGCTAATCTTTTTGCGCGCCACTTTAGTGCTCCATTCAGTACAAATAATGGCCTAATGCCTAGCTCGAATATAAACTGCCTGGATTTTTTGACTGTTGCTCCAATTAATGAATCTGAAGTCTTGGAGGCAATTAAAAAATTGAAACCAAAGTTATCTACGGGAATAGATGGAATTCCCAGGCTTCAAAGTAAAAGGTTGTGCTCCACTCCTTTGTCCAGTTTTGGTTCATATCTTTAACTTATCACTTGCATCTGAAACATTTCCTACCGCTTGGAAGCGCTCTGTTGTTGTTCCATTACATAAATCGGGAGATCGATCCATGGTTAACAACTATAGGCCAGTCTCCCTCCTTTGTAGTTTTTCTAAAGTTTATGAAATTGTTTTGCACAACCGCCTTTACGCATATTTTTGTCGGAAAATTATTCCTGAGCAACATGGTTTCATGAAAGGCCGCTCCACAGAAACAAACCTGTGTTCCTTCCTACATCAGGTTGTACCACCTGTCCATAGCGGAGGACAAGCGGATGTAGTCTACTTTTATATGAGCAAAGCTTTTGACAAAGTTAATCACCGATTACTGTTGAGTAAACTCTGTAGTTACGGTCTGTCCCTTAAGTACTGTCGTCTCCTCGATAGTTACTTATCTCATCGGCTTAACTTTGTACGAGTATCCGGCCGATTATCTGCTCCTTTTTTATCTACTTCTGGGGTTCCTCAAGGCAGTAACCTCGGTCCTCTGCTGTTTTTGGTTTTTGTAAATGATCTAACTTCCTGCATCAAACACACGCGGTTTTTGTTATTTGCTGATGATATTAAGTTGTTTACAGCGGTTAAAACGGTTGACGATTGTAAATGTCTTCAGCGCGATATAGATTCTATTTCGGCGTGGTGTTTTTCAAATTACCTACTCTTAAATGAGTCAAAGACGAAAGTTATGTCCTTTTCTAGGAAGCGTGAAATTCTGAGTTTTCCCTATGTATTAGATTCCACCAATATTACTCGCGTTGAGGTCATTCGTGATCTAGGCGTTTTTATGGATCCTGCAATTAATTTCAACCATCACGTGACCACAATTACGAATGCTTCCTTTCGAGTGCTGGGAGCCATTACACGAGTGACACGCGATTTTTCTAAACCACTTTGTATTTTACGTTTGTTCTCTTCACTGGTGCGTAGTCGTGTTGAATATGCCTCAGTTGTCTGGAACTGTATTGGAGTGACAAATTCAGGTTTAATTCAGAGTGTTCAACGTAGGTTTGTTCGTGTTTTGTTTGATCGTTATTTTCAACCGAATTATTTCTATAGTTATGAGAGGATTTGTGAACTCGTGAAGTTAGACTCGTTGCACAACAGGAGAACAATTCGTGAACTGACATACTTGTACAAGATTGTAAATGGTATAATTGACTCCCCAGAGCTACTCGGCCACATCTATTTGCACGTTCCTCGTCAGTCTTGTAGACTTTATACTTTGTTTTATCCTATAGACTTTTATCATGCTGCACCCATAACACGCCTACAATTGACTTATAACCATTTAGAACAGATTTGTGCGAATGCTAGCCTTGATATATTTGATGAAAAGCGTAAATTTCGACAGTGTGTTGAGGCTATTGTTCTTTCCTAACGTTTCGCTTTTATCCTGTTTAGCGTTGTATTTCTGAAGGAATAAGTGCACCACTAAGGAGGCGTCAAGCTGTTGGTGGGTCACTGAAAATAAGAATAAACATAAACATAAACATAGCAATTCATTTTTAGCTCCGTACAGGCTATGAAAGTTTAGCTATATATGCGGCATCGATAGTATCGTGATACAATCGACAAATCATAAACCTATTTTGCTAAATTCGAATCATTTCATCGAGTTCTTCCGTGCGGTCGCATTGCCACACTGTCCTGAAACAGAATTATCCACTGGCCGGGGTAGCATGGCATGGTTCCACCAGCGTATAAAAAATTATAAGCCATCAAGTGGTTTTCTTTGAAAAATATTTGTATGTCGACTTTATTTCAACATGTATATGTATTGAACTCTTGGCAACTTGGCGCATGATGTAGTGTCTGCATTAAGCTCACCCCCCCCCCCCCCCCCTTTACGGGGATCGATGGATACATCCAGGATAAAAGCTTGCCATGCCCACTACTCTTACGTATTAATGGTGATTTTTTTTTTTAATATTCTGTGCAATTTGGAAACTTGAGAAGTTTAAAAAGTTTAGGCGGAAATGTAGCTAAACAATAGCGAATTACGTAGACTGCGGAATATAGGAAATGTCAGAAGACCACGCCGCAACGCACTTGTTAGAAAAGCTATGGAATTAAAATAAGAAAATCATCGAGCATGAAAACAGAAATCAAGGAGCAATGAACTCCGCAGCACTACCTTTTTTGTTTTTCTCTTTTTTTTTTGATAAGCCGAGTGTATTTCAACGTCTTGATATAAATATGATCAGGCTCGTGTTCTATGTTTTGTGCACGATATCTTGCTCAGGTGAGTAGTAAAAAGCTTTCTATTTCTTCCCTTTCAGCAGAACTTAACACCTTTTCACATACATGCCTTGCACCTACGTCATTAAAATTGCGTGCTGGGAGGGCCGTCGCCATTACGTCGTACCAAATCGTTATCACTGACGCTGCATAGGAAGTTCCCTGGAGTTGCCGTCAGTCTGCCTCGCTGAACGAAGGTTTCGCTACGTAGAAGGGCTGCATGTGCGGTTATTAATTTTGCAAACAGGACTAAGAGCAACAAGCGTCGTGATCGTAACAACGTCAGTGATGCGAGATTTTCAAACTACCGAAGGTGATCTCCGCTCAGTGTCGGCGGACACACGAACTGTCAAAGAAGCGAAGGGGCATCTGGTTTGCGAAGATTAACAGGGCTGACCTGGTCGCGAACGTGAGCACACAGGTGTGCAGCGAGCACTTTGTTACAAGTAAGAAATGCTTCTTGTCGTTCTCCGTTTTCGGAACGCGTTCACCCGGTTGCTGTCGCAAAATTGAATATAAAACTCGGCGCAGTATATTCTGCTGCGCCGAGTTTCGCGAACGTGAGCGCGTCAGCGAATGGCGTTTTTTCTTTGTTTTACAGGAGCTCCTTCTAAGTTGTTCGATGACTCGAACCCTAACTGGGCGCCGAATCGGAAGCTCGGTTATACGGACGAAGGAGATCGCTCAACCTCGAGTCGCAGCGCTCGAGGCTGAGCGAGTTACGTTAGGGAAAAAGGCGGCGTCAAATGTCGTATCCACGCCGAGGAGAAGTTTGTAGGGATCCTCGCCGTCGCAAAGTGCCACTTCTTCGCGTATTTCGCACTCGTAGGCCCAACGAGCTCGTCGAAGTGATCTCCGCAGAGTGGCAACGTCCGCTCCTCTGGCGACGGCATATTTAGCCCGTAGGCGCTGGTAAAAATAGATTAAAACGATTTGTTTACAAATTGTGCGAAGAACAGCAAACACACACAAAAAGAAAAAACGCTACGCTCTCAAACTGCGTGAACACGTCACGGTCGGACGAACCACGCCGTCGACTACGCTTCGTAGGTTCTCCGGTCCTCCGGTGGTACGGAGCATTGGTGATTGGGGGCGGGGCATCGCGGCGTGACGTCAGGCGCAAGGCATGTATAGACAAGCTTGTGTCAGATAACATATTAAAAAAAGTAGAAATCTTCAGTTCTCATAAAAAATGAGCTCAGGTTGATTTGAGCCTGGACATATACGTGTAAGTTTCGGCGCCTTAAAATGTACACGATAATCTGTTTCACGGTAATGTTTAGTGCAAGTTGTGTTACGGGCAGTTAATTCCTGTCATAATAAATAAAACTTTAATTTTATTTCTGCCATGAATCTGCCAAAATCATTACCTTGATATGCCAAACGCGCGGACACAACTTGAAAATATTGAAGAAAAATTGTTTATTCAATCGTGTTCAACACAGCATATTGTTGAACTTCGTCTGTAGAGCGTGGAGGTATATTTGTATATCATGAAAAAATCCGTAAAAGTTATTAGGATAAATTCATGTCCCCGTCCTTTCAAATGTTCTTGTGCAGGCCAGATTCGACTTGGAGTTAAATCCGCCCTACTCCGTCCCCCGCAGCAATTACGGTACTTAATTTCACCAGTTTCTTTGATTCCAAATGTAAATAAATTCAAGCTGCACTGCAGTTTATTAAGAAATTTGCGAATATTTTTGGACTAACCAAATAGGAATCTATTTTTATAACTTACTGTCGAATTCCTTGCGATATAGAACGAAATGTCTTCATGTATCCTTGTTCCTTTCGACTGCGCCATTTTGTAATATTCTCAGAAATTCTACGACCAACTCATCGGTTTTTTAAAGCGTCGTTTGATTTGTTGCTTGCTTCTTTATTTCTTGCTTCTTTTCTTTTCCTTTTTTGTGACCTTTTCTTTTTCCCACCTCTTTCAATTTTTTTTTTAATCCACTTCCATTCTTAATTTTTTCAGAAGGACGCTTCCACTAAAGCCTTGACTAATTCTCGAAAGAAATATGCTACTTGTATTTTTCGCCGTAATGCTGATATCACAGACAGTGGAAAAGGGTAAGAATACACAATCATGATACGAAAAGGTGGTATTTCGTTTTTACTTTTCTCGACTCTCTACAAACTGATATGTAGTATTTTTAGAAAAACTGTCCTTCGTGCAGACCTGAATTGTCGCAAACCAAAACCCTAAAAGGGGAGGGGGGGCAGAAATTTTGATTCGGTAGGGAAATCGTAGAGTCTATATATATTAATCTTCTCTGTGAAACCTGTCGAGCCCTTCTCTTTTTCTTTCGGATCCAGAGATTCGGTTCTTGCGAGGCCGAGAGAGTTCTTCCAAAAACATAAAAAAGACAAAATTTCTCTTTCCCTCCTTTTCCTCTCTGCAACCTTTCCCTCTCTTCCCTCCCTTCCCCATGAAGGCACCGTCGGTCCTCAGGGCTCTCTGCGGTAGCTTGTCGATTGACACTAAGCAGACACCAAACTTCCGCAGTGCACAAATAGCTGTTGGCAAAGCAGCATGGCCCCCTGCTCCTCTCACAAACCACCCTCTCTCCCTCCCTCGGCGACACTCCTCCGTCGAGATTCGGGAGGCAAGTTGAAGAAAGAAAACGTCTTGTTGCATGTCGAAAGCCGGTGTCGTCTGTTTGTCTTCCATGTCCATCTCTCGTTATGGGTAACTTAGACACCAACAACGTCAACCATCCACATTACATGCCACATTACAGAATTTCTCAAGCTTCTAAATTCTGCACTCGATATATTTAAATGAATGAAATGAGGTATAAGGTGAATCTCTGTATACAAATCAAATCAATGAAAACAGCTCCACTAACGTTAGAAGTAACAACCAAGCACAGAACCGTTCTAACAATTGAGAGGATACCGTGGATTGTGGAGTGGTGTTTTAAAATACCATTGTAAAGCCTAAATTGCTTTTTTTTCTCTTTTGAAAAAGGCAACCCACACCAAGCACCCGTAATACAAACGCTGAAATTAGTTTACGCAGGAACTAAAGCAACGTTATACTTTACATAAAAAAATTTTCGACAGCTGTCCTAACTGAAGTCATCATGTTTATTGGCAATATCATTTGTAGTGCGGAGACTCTCCTTGTGAGATATTTTATATGTAGCAGAAATGTTTTGGTTGAATAAACTCATATGATCCAATAAGGTCATATAAGAGCATACAAGAACCATATAAGAGCATGATAAGATTATATAAGAAGCTATTACGAACTTGTTATCAGTTTCTTATACTTTCTTATATACTCTTGCATGCTTTTTATATTATCTGATCTTATTTGATAATATGCGTTTATTGGGCCAAAAAATGTCTTATAGATATAACATTTTTCACTAGGGTGAGGCAGCCAAAAAACACGAGCCCGTGCATACGAGTGCATGGGCTCCTGCACTTGTATGAACGTATTTTGTACCCTGGTGTAAAATATCTGGTAACCAAAGGAGGGTCTAGGAAAACGTTTATACCCTGCTTGTGTTAAGTCTGGTACACTCACTCACTGCTTTCAACTAAGCTATAATCAACCTAAATAATTTTTTTTATTACGCTACCAACGGCTATTCTCCTACAGCAAAGGGACGAAATAGCTTGATGAGCTAACGCTATCCGAGCTTGACTTCAAGGAGCAGCCTGCGGGGTTATGGCTATCGGAATTTTAAAAAAATCCATTCAAAGTGTCTAAAAAAATGCAAAAAATAAATAAGTAATTGTAGGGGCTATTAAGTATAAATTTGCCCAAAGCGAAGCTCCAAACTCAAAACCCCTTCTTAAGTTCGTGGACCTCGCGCTTGAGTTTAAGGATGGACATGTGTGCTGGAGGTACGAACCTCGTTCAAGTAAAAGTTTCCTTTCGCCAACACGGCACTCGTATCAGCGCTGCGCAAGTCATGCAACCATCAAGGTGACGCTAGCTTTCAAAACAGATGGCCCGGCTTCGTGACTCTGGGTATCCAGATGCCCTCCTTGGAGCCGTATGTGAGACAATATGCAGAAAATTCTCAAGAGGATTACCAAGTACCAAGTGAAATAGTCAGACTCCACGAGAGAACTTCGCGGTAGTCCCCTACATCCGCGGTGTCACCCACCGACTCAAAAAGATCGCTGCACAAGGTGTCAGGGTTGTGTGCTCGGCACCGAACAGAGGGAACTCTATGTGCCGCAGAGTAAATCGGGCCAAGAACCTCCAGCCAACCTGCAACACTGCGCACACGACTAAGTACGCCATGTGCCAGACCGGTGTAGTGCACAAGATTCCAATGTCATGTGAGAGCTGCTAAATTGGGCAGACGGGACGGTGCGTTAAAGGAGCGATGCAACAATTTTTGTACTTTACGCAAATACCGTTTAAAACGGATCCCTAACGTTAATGACCTATGAAACACGCGTTCGTTTTTCACCCCACGCAATAGAAGTCCCAGAAAAAAATTAAAGAAAATCGAGCAGCATTCACCCCCTCAACTCGCAGCCAGAACAAGCGGCCACGTGATCTGGAGCCGATTATATGCCGCCAGTGTTGATCATAGCCACGCGCTGGGGTTGGCAGAGCGCAGGACACGCGCTGAGCTCCAGACATTGTTATGGCTCGGCTGTTGTCGTCGTTGCAGCGATTGGACACGGGTCACTACCCGAATGCTTCTCGAACTAGCAATTATCACGAGCCCAAGTCGAGTGCCCACGCGATGCTCGGGCCCAATCTATGAACCGCATTCAAATATCGTCACTTGGGTGTACTGCGATCCCCACGTTACGTCATCAAATTTTGCAAAGAGAGATTGAAGGAAAATGATCGCTTTTGTCCTTGAAATTACACCGCAACAAAGGAGTTTCTTGGCCAGTGGCGTTGCGTGTGAGTATCCTTGAGTCCCAGGTGTGCCAGTAAGCTCGTGTCAAGTGAAAAACATTCCAATTAAATATCGTTGCACAGCTCCTTTAATGACAGAGTCAGAGAGCACGCGGCGTCGGTGCAGGGCACGGGAGCTGGGCATCTTGCAGCCCATTGCCGCGCGTGCGGGTGCAGGCCAAGTTTAAGCAGCGTCTCCATTATTAAAAGACACAGAAATGCCTTTGCGCACGAGATTTTCGAGGCCGTGACCATTGAACAAAGCGCCGATGACTGCGTGAGCACGCCCTTCATCACGGTCAGCAAGAAAAAAAGGCAATTTTTCCAGTGTGGCACGGCCCCGCTGAAGGGGAATAAGAGGAATATATGTCGGCGGTGGTCTGTGGGTTGGGTCAGGGAGGTGTTAGTGACCGAATTTAGTAATTTAATGTAATTAATTAATTAGTTTTATTTTTATTTTTTTATTTTGTATTTCAATTTAGTAGTGTAATGTAATAATTTAGGGTGATTCATTGGCATTACTTTAGGTGTGAATGTTTGGGTCAAATTGATGTAGAAGATGTGTAAAGACTTAGTTGATAGTCAGCGGTGTGTATGTCTCTGTTTCTTCCTGTCTGTGTTTTGTTCCTATCGTTCTAGCTGACCGTTTACTTTTGCATTATGCACCAACTATACTCTGTTTCACCTTATGATGTACCGCAGAAAAGGCTACAAGCGCGAGCTTCTTGCTCTGGGGCACATCTCGGCGGCACAAGCTCTCTTCACTTAAGATCGGCTGCCAACGCTATGAGCTCGCGCTTCTAGCCTTCGCTGCGGTACAACATAAGGTGAAACGAAGTATAGCTCAACTTCAGCCTGTTATTCCCTTCTTAACACAGCAACCCTCACATCTGGGTTTTTGTTGCTATTCGAAAAGTAGATCTACTCTTTGTTTTACGCTTACTTGGAACAAAAGGAGTGCTACGAACGCGAAGCCGAAGCCACGGGGACGCCAAAGCAGCTCTCGCGCACTGAAATCAACTGCCAAGAGCTCTTGCCCAGTATTCTTGCCCGTGCTCTGTGTCGTTACTGCGGATAAAAATTGGGGGTTGTTTGTTTGTTCATACAACATAGAGCTTGGCCTGCCTCAACGGGCGACGAGTCTCCCAGCTGTAGATGAGAAATTCAGCCAGTGCAGTACAACTGCTAGCCTGGGGTCTTTAGGGCACATCACGCAGTAGAGACGCAATCCCACGCCGGTACGGTACTCATCCAGATCGACGTCTGAAATATAACTAAGCGCTGCGCTGTGCCGGCATGATATTCCCAAGTGCTGCACGTTGCACGTGCCTCTTGCATCGACACACCTTGCGCTACTTCTAAAACCTGAAAGGCTTTAGCGAAACCCTCCTTAAGTCGTCTTTCTTTCAATTTATTTAGTTAATTTTAGAGCGCAATACTTATGCGCTCATTCGCGTGTTTTGCGGCGTCGCCGTCGTTGGACGTTAGACTTTTCGCCGTCGGGGATAAAAAGCATCGTTAGTGTGGATGCTTTGTCTCCACCCGCATTGTTAACAGCTGAAAGATTTACGTGCCTGATAGAAAACCATAGGTAAAGAGCACGCTTCCCCTAAATTCACTCTGGGTAACGGGGCTAATGGAGGCTGAGGATGACAAAATCTAGAAAACTGCATTTTGACTTCATCGGCCTTTTATTCTTTCCTGCATTATCAAAGATGAGACAGCCTTGATTAGAATAAACTAACGTTGAGGCCGACAGAGCGATCTCACCAAGCGTTCGGCGTATGCGTGATGCCGCCACAACTTTAGTTCTCAGGGGGCACGCGCAAGTGCACGAGACGGCTCATGCCGTTACGTGCTCTACACGCACAGTGTTCCAGCAAGGTTGCCCCACGTGCAGAAAGACGAAAGTTCCTTCGATGCCTTGCAGCAGCGGTGGCATAGTGAAACTGTTTGGGGAGATCCGTCGATTTCGTAATCCTTGTGTGACGTATAGTAATCCTTGATGGGGAAGTGCAGTTTGGCACACTTCTAACAATCTTTCTTTTCAGGGGTGTCTTCGACCGTATTTGACGGACGTGTGTGCTTATATTTTATTAAAAAAGGAGGAGACATTATGTGCACTTTAGGAAAAGTAGGGGTAAGTGACCAGAAAGAGTGGAATATAGTTAAATTAAAATAAATGTTATTTGCTCACCAGTTTAGAGCACTACTTGGCCCGTTTTGTCGAAATTAATATCAACAGCTGTTTAAAATAAAGTTAGAAAGAAATTTCTGCGTAATTTTTTTTAAATTATCTGGAAGTGCGTTATAGGCTACTAATTGTTCGTCTCACAACAAAGCGTAGGCGTCACACTCAAAGTGCACAGTGCTCTTTCATATCCTGCGTTCTTTCAGCAGTAACGTGGACTAACTATTTGTTTGTACCGTAGAAACATATTTATTTTAGATACAATATTTTGCAAACATCTCTATAGCAAAGAATGCGTTATATGGCTGGCACCTAATTATATTCGGTTAGGTGCCAGGAACGAAAGTCGACAGGCCGACTGCCAGCCAATCCCCTTCCTCAAATGCCTCAGTGTTGCTCCCGTCAGGGGTACAACATCATGTGTTCAAATATTCGGCGGCGCTCTGCACCGTGAAGTCAGCCCACTCCGGACTACCCGAGTAAAGAACACAAGAAAGAGCGACAAAATAGGAGAGTAAAAAAAAAATCATACGCCACGTTAGGTGTGCTTTGTTTCCACCCTGCTCCTCTTGGTTTGTGAGTGCCCAAGCGTAAAGTCATTGCATCCTGCGAAAGTAGCGCCATTGCTTTCCCTGCCTGCTTGCCGGACACAAAAAGATACTAACATACGCACGACCGAAACCTCGTAAGGCGATTCGCTGATCAGTCTCTGTGGCCATTACATTTGCCATTTAGGTCCTTTCAAATGAGCCAGTGACAAATGGGCCTCGTGCGCGGACACTTTTGGCTACCTCCCCCCCCCCCCCCCTGCCCCTTCTTTTTTTTTTTTTCATTACAACGCTTGCAACAACACACACTTTTAAATATTAGAAGCTTTGAAACGGCCGTCTTGAAGAACCAGTGTTTCGGAGTTGCCACTCCAGAGTTGGAATGATTCCGGAATAATTCCGGAATCATTCCGGCATTTTTGCGACCCCGGAATGGAATGGGATTGGAATGGCGGCAACGTCCAGGGGAATGGAATGGGAATGGAATTAGACGCCTTTTGCCCGGAATAAAATGGGCCCCTTTCTTTTTTTTTTTTTGTTAGTGTTTACGGCTAGCTAATCTGAGCCCGTCAGCGAGTCAGGTGCTCAGAAATAAAATGAGCGGGAAACTGGTAGCCCGCGTAGAGTCCTCATAGACTTATACTGAAAATAAAATGCAATACAAAAAACAAGCGTCAAAGCAAAGAGCAGCGAGGGGAGGGGGGGGAGGGGGAGGTTGCGGTGGCGCCTTTCACGGACGCGCAGGCGACTGGCTTCACTGGCGTTAAACGAGAGCGGAACTAGAAACCAAGCACCAAGCAAAAGAAACGAAGCGAGCGGCAAAGAAAGAAACCGCAGTGCACGGCTCCTGATCTTTTTTTTTTTTTTTTTTCTTTGACGGCATGGGGAATGCACGCGCGCAGACTGAGATCTGGTAGCGGGGGCGACTCATAACTCGCTGAGCTCTGATAACTCGTTGACCCGCGCGCCGCCGAAAGATGATCAGTTATTGTTTTCTTATAGTTCGAGGAGCGTTGTTTAGCGGGTGGCCAACCCTGCTGCCTTCCACGTTCATTCACGCGCACTCCTTTGAAGTGCGAGCTGTGGGTTTGCTTCGGCATTAAAACAAAGCGAGATTCACTTCTCTCTTCTCCTCTTGCGCTTTGCTCCGACGCTCGTTCTACAGCGGAGCTGTTAAGGGCTAGGTTCCCCAGGATCGTGTCCGGTATGTCGACACAAACCTACCTGGACAGCTACCGCCACCTATAAGCGACGGCGGCAAGCACACAACCAGTATGGTTTCCGCCGTCGCTCGTTGTTGGCGCCAACCTTTCCAGCTATAATAGAAAAATAGATAGTTGGGCGCGTTGGTGGTGTAGAGACCGGCGACCGTCGAGGCCAGAGAGGAACGAACACACGCACGCGCCTGGTCCGGGTGGAACGAAACAAGTAACTTCGTCTCGACTCGACTCGACGGCCAGATCTCGTGCGTCGAGGAGTGTGGATGCGCACATTCGCTGGTGCCTGACTTGCATCAGCTCTCGGACTTGCCCTTGGCTCTGCGGGAGCTTCCTCGGCAGAAGGCTGCGGAGAGGGAGTTGTAACCAGGCTTCGTTCTTCAGAATCTTGGGGTTGGAGGCCATTGGCTCCATCGGCCGCAGGAACCGGCAGAACCGGAGCTGGCAGGCCGGGAACAGGCTCCATAGGATGGCTCCCGAAAGGAACCAGGTGTCGCCGATTTCTCTGCAATACACCCCGCGGAGTTTCGACGACATAAGAGCGTGGGCGTTGCGGTCGGCTAAGCACTCGAGCAGGGCACTGTGCGTCGGTCACCCACAATCTTCGCCAGGTGAAAGTTCCCTGAGCTCGCGCACTCCATGACGACGGTCGAAGTCGGAAGCTTGGAGTCGCTTCGCCGCGCTGTCCCGCTCCAGAAAGACCTGTGACTTCGGCCATGCCGGCTGGAGTTTCTCGGCAGCCTTGGGTACTTGAGTCCGGAGCGGTCGACCCATCAGCAGCTGAGCAGGGCTAAAACCCAAGACGCCAGGAGTATCTCTATAGACGAGCAGTGACAAGAACGGATCGTCGCCTTCACCCAAAAGGTCCTTCACTGTCCGGACTGTACGCTCCACTTCTCCGTTTGACTGCGGAAATCCAGGACTGCTAGTGACGTGCATAAATCCGTAGTCTTCCGTGAATCTGGCGAAGTCGTGGGAGGCAAACTGTGGTCCGTTGTCACTTCGAAGTACCTCAGGGATCCCGAAACGCGCCATGACACTTTTTACTGCAGAACTCACGGCTTGACTTGACGTGGTTCGCAGTGTCATTACTTCAGGATATCGTGAGTGATAGTCCACCATCAGTAGAAAATCTTGGCCGTTTAAGTGGAATAAATCGACTCCCACCTGTTGCCAAGGTAGCTCTGTTGGAGGCGACGTCATGAGAGGTTCAGCCCGCTGTACCCTCGTCGATGCGCAGCGCTCGCACTTCTCGATCATAGTTTTGATTTGATCGCCGATACGGGGCCACCACACCGAGTCTCGAGCCCGTGCCTTGCATCGGTTGACTCCTGTTCAGGTCTGAATACCCACCTACCACAACAGGTGGGAATTCATCGCAGGAAACAGCGCGAAAAACAGACGACGATGAAGAAGCACACAGTGTATCGAGCACAGCTCCGCTGGTCTTCCTTCTTCATGAGAGTGGAAAGGCTGTTCATACTACAATTTTCCGTGTAAGTCCGCCTTTTACTTGGTCTTTGTTCCGATGCTTCTTTTCTGTGTTTTGCATTCAAGTGGGTTTCGGGCATAGCCTTCTCTATATTCATATGTCAGTGTAGAGGAGCTATGGTTAAGGTTACAAGCAAGCTAGCAGATTCTCGCTCATTTACTTTGACTTTAGTCTCTGCATACTTTGTTTCACCTTGTGATGGACCCCTGCGGACACTACGAGTCACCCCAGGCGATCCAGCACCGTGAGCGGAACTACACGCACGGCACGTTGATGCTTTCCAGGGTCCCACGACACTCAGAAGGCACTGGATTGGTTTCAATGGCTTTCGTGCTGTCTGTTACGGTCCATCGTAAGGTGAAGTAGACTATCGTCACCGCTCTCGTCGTGTGACCGAACTGACTAGACCTGCAGAAAGACAGTCCCGTGCCAGACGAGGCGCGACCGTTGCTGTGAGGGCCACTGAGAAGGAGAACCGGGTGATAGCTGCTACTGAGGTTTTGCCTTCCGCGCGCTTTGTAACCTTGCATGAAAGTAATTGCTTTGCATTGGCTCATGTCCGAATAATTAGCAAGATGATCAACAAATAACAGGTGATAAACCGATAACGTCCGTATAATGAACGAACCACAATGAACAAACGTATATTTGAGCCCAGCAGACGTTCTATTGATCGCCTGGAAAACACATAAAGAATTGAAATAAATATGATAAGAAATATGGAGATTTGTAAAGCAAGTGTGAACTTATGCGTTTTAAAACAGGTTTCGTGATATGGTCTATACGGTCCCTCGTTCTGCGCCGTAAAGGTTGCACTTTGTCAGAGGTGTGCCTGGAGTCGCTTCCAGCAGCGTACTAGCCGTGTTACTGTGCAGGTATTTGAAGAATACAGTAATATAGCTTATTTCTGCGCCACGCACGAACTGGATATTTTTATGGCCTTATCAAACAAACCCGCTGGCCGTGTATGTCCTAAAAATCGCATGCAAAAAAGTTTGCAAAAAAAATGAGTGGATTTAAGTAGTGCTGTTGCGAGCCACGTGGTCGCGAGACCGATGTCTTATACAAGCATCGACATATCAAGGGGTCTTTCTCGATGTTTGCAGTACAATGTAAATGAACACTTTGTACAACCAGCACTCCGCTTAGTAAAAGAAATACCTTTTTTAAGAATTTGTTTTTTTGCAATTTTTTATGCGTTTGATAATGTCAGTTTTATGCTGCTTATGCCGGCAACACAATGTAGCTGTCAAGTGCCAATTTTTACTTTTAGGAATTGGAGGAATTGAACGGAACGATTCAGCCATTCCAGGAGTGGGAATGGGCCCTGTGTACCCATTCCTTGGAGTTGAAAGGAATTGAATTATCGAAAACCCTAACTCCCCAGAATGGAATTGGAATGAAATGGGGGGTGCCCATTCCGCAACACGCTTCTGAACCAGCCGCGCCAAGATCGCTATAAATTGTCAACGTACCGAAGAACGTTCCTTGTCAATATAAGCGTCTTTGGCGCTGTGTATGCAATCAATTTATCAACCGTGCTTATTGTCATGTACCAGACTATGTTTATTCAGAGCATAGTCTAGAACATAGGATATGTTGCTTCTGGTCAGTCGTCGATGCAATGTTCGAGCGCGACCGCCAGATCACTTCATCTTGGGCTGGCAGACACGAGAGCACAGGAGCCAGGGA